TGGAGCAACCCCACTCAATAAATAAAAATCTACACTATATACACCAAAACTATATGCAGTATGTTAAAGAAACGCTCCTGAAAACGTAGGTAGACGATAGTATTACAGATACCTTTGGTGAAGGGTCAGAAAAAAATCGGTTCCGAAAAAAAAACCTTCTTATTAAAACGTTTTCTGATTTGATATTATATATTTTTCTAGTAAGCCGATGCAAACTCGCGTGTTGAGCTGAAATGTAACAAATGGGTGTTGACCTTGACGCTTGACTCATGTGCATAACACTGACATTATAATCTGATAACATTTTATCGTTAGTTTCTGTATGTCGGAATTCCTGAACTAATTACCATTGGCTTATTAATTTCTGATGAGTCAGTGATGATAGGGAATATTTCGTCTACGAATGTATTGTTTTTTTTGCATATTTTGCAAACGATATCTAGCAGGCCATGAATAGGTTGTAAAGTAAATACAGTATACGAGTAAATATCAATCAGCTTTGTAAACACTTAATTTGCACGTGAGCCTAATCGGGCTTCCTACACTTAACTAACCTTACCTAGCTAAACTTCAGTATAAACGTTTCGAGGATAAACTTTCACTAAGATTCTCTACTGCCACTCGTTTTCTGTTTACCTATTCAACAAGTTAATCAAAGCTTCGGTTCGATTTTATTGTTATTGTTTAATGGATTTATTTTTGCAATTTATTTGAACTTAATGAGTATCGTTTAACAATTAATGAAGTATATTTCTTGCGCTAAATCTGCTTAAAATTTTCAGATCGAAAGAATTGAACTTAATTAAGTACATGTTTATTGATATCATACTTTCTGTTGTACAGTTTCTATGAATAAAATAAACAACTACATACGTATTTGATATTACAGCAACAGCTAAAAGTTCCTGTTTATTATTAAGAATAAATGATTTATTTTCTATGAATTTCAATTTAAATCAATACTTAGCGTGAAATAGCCAGTATTAACTGCCATTGAGTACGTGAATGCGGGCCTAAACGTAAGCTTTCGAAGCCAGCGTCACTGACGCGGCGTTTATAGCGTCACATCTCCATAGGTTCTAAACGTATTACATTATGGATCTACCTGAACTGATTATAGAAGAGGAAGAAGATGATGACCTTTTACTTCTATTTTCTCTCAGCTTCAAAATTCATTCGAATCTATTCATTCGATTTTTCAGACCGTATCTTGTCTTTCTTTATTCTATTCTAATCTATCTTTATTATTTATAATGTATTTCATGCTTAATTATAAAGCAATGGATGCCGAGACACCAGTGTAATTAATATTTCATTTTCTTCTTCTGTAAACGTGTCAATAGATGCCATTTTATAGAAATTAACCTCAAAATACACGTGAGCGGCGGCGACACTGCAAACATGAGCGCAGCATAGACGCTGGCGTCTAACGTCACAGTTGCAGCGTCACTAACGCTGTGCCACTGACGCTTGAAAATTTTAACTTATTCTTTATGATATCCAGTATAATACTATCAAATTTTCGTTATAAAAAAATCAATCCTTTGTCTTATGTGTCGTATATTTCTTTAAGCCTTTTTAATAAATATGAAACTCTGCGCCTGTAAGAGGAGGGATCCGGGAACAGCTGATATTTCTTTAAGCCTTAGCTTAACCTTCAAAGAACCTAAACCTAAAAATGTTAAAGATATCCCTTCTAAAAATAACTTTGTTACTTTCTATGGAAGCAGACTTCCCAAACTTGGATTATCCGTAAGCATATATTTTTTTATTCCGCCTTGTTACAGTTGGTCCAGACCATAGTATACCTACCACCTCCTACCACCTAAACCTGTCGTTAACATTTCAGTGAAAAGTGTAGTTATTCAATTCAAATCATCGATTTCTTCTTTTTACATTCTCAATAACTTTTTATGTACAATACTTATCATATTATTTCCCTATTGCACACAAACTAATTAACTATTTTTCAGTAATGTTACTGAAAAATAGTTAATTAGTTTGTGTGCAATTTCCACTACCGAATGAAGGTATTGTTTCTGTATCAGTTTTTGGTTCTCCTTCTTAGATTACTGTTATTCGTTACTCCATAAAGGACTAAGCTCCTACCAAAATATATTTTCAAATACAGGTGCTAATTTTTTTCTCTTGTGTAGCTGTTGCTCGACCGACGGTGTCGTTCAACATCTTCGATCTCATTAATGAAGGAAGCACCGAGATAGTCTCATTTGACCCTCACAGTAATGAAAACCATATTATAAATATTAAGAAAAAAAACAAGAGTAGGTATTCTTGAACAAGGTTTTAATGAACTACATCTTTGGTCGTATCATTGGTTAGAACCTGACATATTCATACAAATGTGAACGATTGATTTTATTTATAAAATAATCATGTTTTGTTAACTACAGGAATTCATGGGCTTGCACAGTCATCAACATAATTCTAGGTTAATTTCAAGCATACTTTGAGGGCTGTTACTACTTGCACACACTTACACTCGCCTAAATCAATTTCGTGTCTAGAAGTTTTTAAAATCGTGCATAGATCGCTATGTTCAGTTTTTTAACGCCTACAATTTTAAGGATTTCCAATTTTTAAACAGTAACAACCCTTAAAATATACTTACCTATTGGAAAAAAAACAATACAAGCATTGTTTACATAAAAGTAGTTTAAATTACATATTATTTTTTCTACTTACAACGGCTAACAAAACACTCGTTACACAATTATTAATTAACATTGCACATGTACTTTTAATTGCTCGCATATTATACGTATTTTCAAAAGTTATAATTTACTTAGTTAAGTGCGGACTGTACACAATTAAATGCAAACAGTTCACCTGACACAACGGCTGTGCACGCTACACACGATGCTGACGTTTTAGGGCTAACTCTGATAAGAGCTTACAATCTGATCAACGATTTCCATGATCAGACAACTCAGTCACATATAACGGCTCTCTATATACAGGCCTAATAAGATAATGATGATTTAACTTTAACTTTAAAAATGTTTATTTTGCTGATACACTAACTGGAAAAAAAAGTCGAATTAGTACAGATTCGATTCGATCGAGTTTGATGAAATATCAGGCAAATTAATTAATATAAGCTAAAATCTTTGGACATAATGTTGGCAATGGGCTGAAACACTCAGTGTCAAATAAATATTAAACAATGAACTTAAACTGTCAAAATTTTCAATTTCCAAATAAATAAATAACGGAGTAAAGTTAAATTATCTAATGTAAAGAGATGCAATTTGTCACAGTACGTACACATACGAGTAGATGTGTGTAGGTGTATCAAAATTCAAACTTTAGACAAGAACAACAATATCAGCCGGTTCGTAAATGATTGTAAACTCGTTGGTTTTGTTTCTTAATGAAATTCTTTCCTGAGATGAGCGAACAGGGACATCGAGAATAGTATACTACTATTATCATACAGAAATTATCTGCAGATGACTCAAGAATTTATTAAAAACATTTCTAAGCAACGTAATTTGCACTATTTTCAATTATGTTTTATATCAAGTTAACATATTATATCCACATTTTTCTAATTAATCCAAATCTACATTTACCATTGTATAATAATAGATACAATAATCTACCTACAGTAAATGAGCTATTTACATAAATAATACAAACATCATAACAATGTCTACAATAAACTTAACAGTTAATATACAAACATAGTATTAAATCAGAAAAACAAATAGCACACCACCATTTAATCTTGAGATCAACATGACATCACCTTTCTGTAACTTTAAACAGTATATTATTTGTTTTTCTGGTTAAGCTGTACAAATAATAACAAATCATGTATTACAGTTCAAAGTTTAGAAAGTTAATTTTTCTTCTCGGCTTAGCCAAATTAAAAATAAATTTAGAGAATTAGCTTTTGATCGTTAAATATAATAGCCTAAAGAATTTTGAGATTATTGAATTTAATTGTGAATGCTGCAATACGTACATATAGTTGTTTATATTTACAATAACACTTATAATTTTGTTCTAAGTTACATTTTATTTTATCTAAGACGACAATCGGCATCAATCCTGATACCAGCGCCCGTTAGTGTTACAACTTTAGGACAGATACACATTCAGCGATTAAGCCGCGGCGAAAATTTATATGCGTGTGTAATTTTTTCAGAATCTTACATTCTTGTACCATACATAGGGTATCACTATCCCAAGTCTACTTAAACAATGGTAAGTAACGTGATCAACAATGGTATCTAAACTGCTGAAATGTATTCCACCTCAAAAATACATCAATAATTCATAATACAATCATCCATTGAAAAACGGGTACTCTACCTTACATCTCACTGCTGCGCCACGCCTTCAGGATTAAACCCAAAGTTTGTTCAGATTTGACAGGTTAGGTATTTTAACACGATATGTGTTAAATCTTACAAACTTCAAAGACGATATTAGTCCTAACGTGTAGCGAATATGGCGGCATTGGCCTTCCAACTTTAATCGTACTTAATTTACATAATAAACATTAAAGAGAAAAATACAGACGTTATAATGCAGATTTTAACAGATTTGTACAAAATGGAGATTCAACGCTATTTTAGCTATATCCTAATTTGTATTTGAGATCAAATAATGAGATTTTAACAAACTAAAACAAATCTCCTTACGCTTATTCCTAATAAACTAATAATATCATATTCCAAAATCGAGAAAGATACAAAAAAGTTAGTTATTAGTCACGTGTTGATTACAATTTCAACAATGAGACACTAACTATAGTTTGGCAATTACTCTGCATTACTTTCTTACACTTAGAACGTCAATTCAGGTTAAAAGTTGTAATTTATGTCTTTTTTTTAAGTGACGTTTAAGCACTGTGTGTATGTTTGAAACGTCAACTGCTCAAGTTTGTTCAGTCCAACTCGCGTACGCTAAAGCACGGGAGTTTAGTTTTGATACTTGGCGTAAGGGTGAGCCGCGTCTCACGCGCTATAATCTCAGCTGGACGCCGAGAGTCCGAGGGGTTTGAGGTGCGGCGGGGGAGCAAATGGTGCCGGCGAAGAGCCCGACATGTTATTGTTCAGATCACCGGAGCGACTCGACCCGTTCATCAAACTGCTCATGGCGTTGCTTGTCTGTTGAACATTGATTTAATTAAAATTTGAATAAATCATACAAATGAGTTTTGTATTAACAAAAACGTAGTCATAAACGGCGTTTTTGTTTCCACGCTGTAAGACACCATAACGACTAGTTACAAATTTCCTTAATTAAAATTTAGCAAGATAATGAACGTCAAATAGTTACTTTCATTAAAAAATGAAGATTATAATTAAAGCGGCTCTGGTGGAATAATCGCCAAGACTTCAGAAACATGATAAGAGTCTGCGGGTCTGAACCCCATCCATTTTATCATCATTATGTCGAAAATCAAATTGGTCTTAAATTTTAACAAATGAAATGATATATGTACCAACTTAAAACTTATCTAATATCATTCCCAGTCTAAAATTAAGCCAAACGTAAGTCACCCTACCTAAAAAAGAAATCAAATACGTGTTTAAAGTTGACTTTCTTTTTCAGTATTATGAACGAATAGAAATACTGACCTATTCATAATTCTTTTAATAAATAATCTTGAAATGTGGTTTCTTACTCATGGTCAGAAATTATAATTTGAAATTTTGTTGTTGAATTTTTTTGTGGTATTTCTGCGATATCTATGAAACATTAATGAGAAAGTAAGTACTCACTGGTGGTGGTGGCAGATGAGTCGTTTGCCTTTTAAGATGCGCAAGCGGTGGTGGATTGTACGCCATATTGGCAAACACCAGCCGCTCTTCATAGTCGTATTCGCACAGAATCTTGTTATCGCATAAGTAGAATCGATCACCCACGCAGAACCTGAGACAAACAATAAGTTTTTAATGTATAAATTAAAGTATTGGAAAATTTTAAGAGTTTTATCAGACTGAAAAGTGTTTTCGACTGATTTGATTTATGAATCAGCGGAAAACACTTAAGTAATGCATATTGTACAACAAAGTTCGCTTTTATTCCATACGTATACAATAATTACCCATGTACGTACATAGATAATATTTTTTTCCATGTTAAATTACTAACTGTAGATTTATTCGATTGTTTATTTGTTTCCGCTTTATTAGCAATTAGTCGACACCGTGAACTGTAACGACATCGGATCGCATAGTGATAAATAAAAGTTAGAAAGATCTAATTAGTGATGTTACCGGATCTTACACATGTATGCAGTATAGCTGGAATCAACGCAACCAACGCAGCGCAATTCATTTTAAGAATGAACTGACCTCTTTTTTGTTAGCTGCAAAAAAAATGTATTGGGACATAAATTGTGAACTCTTTATTTCACATCTAAGATCTAATCACAAAAATCATTATTTTGATGAAATAAAACCTTAAATGTAACCACCATTAAACGTCTGAAGAAGAAAATTTACTATCATGAGTGGAAAGGTCAACGCGAAGCAAGGAGTCGCGATAACGTCACGCAAGCGAGCATCCCTCAATGTAGCAAAACAAAAGGTATCGCCTTCGACTCGCCAGTGGCCGCCCGGAACCGCTGGTGATAACGCCGACCTTATCTACCCTCCTGCCTCACCCTGCGCGCTCCCGCGTCTCCGCCACCCTGCCAACTCTTTTGTTTCACTTGTCACAAAAATTAAGCGCAATAGCTTCGCTACAAATGTCTCTTTTTTAAGGGGCCAATTTCCACCGCAACTCAGTCGATTTCGCCGCTCTTAATTAACTTTATTTCCTGTTCTCTTCGTTCCCGACTTTTGTTTTTGGCTCGTCGTTTTTTATTTCGCTATTTTTTGTCTGCAGCTGCGTAATGGAAAAGATGGAAAACGAAATTTTAATGACTAGGTGCAAGTTAAGCTTTGTTCGACGCGCCATTGTGTCGCCACGGCATCAAAGGCAAGTTTGACATTTTGCGTTAAACCAAAGTGTACGGGGATTTCCCCTACTGACAAACAATAATATCATTTAGAAGATATTTAGATCGCACCAATCCAAAGATAGAGATAATTACATCTTGTCTTATAAAGAACACTTCGGACCCCAAAACTAAGATGGTATTATTTACTGATATACAAATATTATTTTCATAAATTTCAGTGCTTATGTTAGAGAGTAGTCCAAAATATGAGGTGGAGATATAAAATCATGGAGGTAGATTTGTCAATCGTGGTCATGTGTCGATTGCGAAGTGACATGGAGCGTGCGATCTGCAGCACGCGGCTTCCGCCGCGGGACGCCACCACCGCCGCTCGCCACCAGATTGCTACTAAATTATTTAGCCGTTTAGCGATATTCACCCGTGAATCCTGTGATATCTGCCGTCCGCTCCGATCGACAGCCCGCAAATTGGATTCAGATTTCAGCCGGCATGGAAATTGATTTGTACGTGATATTTAATAGTTAGCACTACCACATTCTTGTTGCTTCGTGTTTACCGGGTCTGAGGGGGCTAATTACTGGAATATCTTCATACATTTCTACAACACATAATTCACTAATGAATTACAAAACAGTTCCGTTTGATATTCCAATACAATTGTTAGAGATATTTTGATTTTACAGACAAAATGCTTTCCATAATACGAAGCCAACTGTTGAATCTGAATTCTGAAACAGTCGAATGAATATATAATTCGTTGAGAATGTCACGCGAGATCTACTAACACGGGAAAGGTTCACAAGTGACATATAAACCATTCAGAGCGGCTCCAATCTTCGCGACCTTTCTATTATTTAAACGGACGCAGTCCAACGAAAATTGCCGTTTTCGCGCCTGCACCCCTACTCTGAATCTTACAAGGAATTGTGTGACAAAAATATCATTAGACCAGCAACTTGAGTACATAAAATATCGTTAAAACTAAAAACAATAAATATAATTGATTGAGACAATTTTAATTCAAAGCCACAAAGCTATCTATACTTTCTTAATTTGCTGGAACGATACCAACAATATAAATTTGTTTCATGGACCTCCGTCACGTGAGTCGATGTAGTGTAGTCGAGTTGGGAATACGGAGCGAGATATCTGTAGTATCTGACTACGTCGTGCACCGTACAATTGAATTGAATAAAACAGTCGAACAGTATTCATATGTTTTGATTAGTAAAGAAATCTCTTCACTGGGACCATACTGCTTTTTGGGGACTTTTCAAACTACGCTGGTAGTGTATATTTGTATTTCAGGAGTCTTATTGTTTTCACTCCAAGATAAATAGTTTGATAGATGTAGTACCAACGGCAACAGCAACGATTTAATTATGCATTGAAATATCACAATGAACATGACATAATATTAAATGATATTTTTATACAAAAGTGAATTACATGTGTACAATTAAATTTTGTCCATCTGTTAGAAACATGTCTGCAGTATACGAGTATATAGCAGCGAGAGCTTTAAACTAGAATAGGTTATGATACAAAATGATACTCATTAATAGATCTTATATTAGATTTGTACTTTACAAAAATTAAAAATACATCATCGCTCACACACGACTAGTTAAGGAAATCAATGAGCAACAGGTCAAGCAATGGATAGGAGGATATTTATTTTATAGAAGAAGCCCTGTCTCCGTAACTTATAGAATGTACAAGATAAGTGTGATCAACGCTTAAATATTGTATATACTATTCAATAAAGAAATGAGTAGGGCTCTTATTTAATTTTACATTCCCATTTAAAATATTCATGACGTATATTCAACATGTTAGTAGAGCAAAAATGGTATTAAAAATGTGTATGATTTTCCAGAGAACACATATTCCCAACATTGTTGCGCTCATTTAAGTGAACTTTACTTCCAATGAAACCGTTGGAGGCTTCCAATAAGGTGCTAATTAAAGTACAGCGCCAATGTAGTATGGATGAGTAAATGGTAAACTGATATGTAAGATAGATATGAATAGTTTTCTGTTTATTTATTTTTCTGCTTTATTCAATTTTGCCTAATGAGAAGCGTTTAAGGTAAGGTAAACTAGAGTAGATGATGAGAAAGTGTTTATAGAATAACTCAAACGTAAAAAAAAAACCCTTGCATGTTCTTCTAATAATTTCAAGTGTTCGTACTTATTTATAGTAAATATGAAGCAGCTTGGAAAACGGCTCTCACTTTTCCATTGTCTTTTAATATGCGTAGTTAAATTATTTTATTTATTCATCCGCATCACCGTAAACCAACTTCGATCGTTTGCATTCAATTCACATTTTTTATTATTCTACTCACACTGTAAAGTTTAAGAGTGTAGGATAAGTTAAATAAGGTTCTAAATTTATAGTCTGTAGATATTAAATGTTCACACAGCGGCGTATAGAATCGTTGTCTTTTTGCCTTTGACTTTATTATGTAGCGGAAAATTTAATCGCGTTCTTTTCAGGGTATCCGTGAGATGAATAAACAATCTAAACTGGTGTTACGTTATATCTCGAACCTTTTCACTCTCATGAGCTGTACTTGGTAAAAACAATTTAGTTCCGAACATGGTTCTCGTAAAATAAAATCTTTGTGCATACAATTGTGCTTGTCACTTTTAGCTTTATTTTGGGTTTATGTATTGACTAGCGTGGATTTGCAAGAGTGATCGAAAAATAACTGGTAAGTGATTTAAATATGTGCTTCATTTTTTTTTGTAAAATCAGTCTTCTAATAGAGTGATAGTTTCCTTTTATTTGCGGGTCTGTATTTTTTTTAATAGCAACATCAGAGAGCTGAGTGCAAGTTTATTTCACATCGACTCGTTCTCGACGTCGAGCGCGTTTAGCGTTGCGATTGGTGGAGATTTAAGTGCGGGCCAATCGTAGCGCTGAGCGCGGTCACCGTGACGATCGAGTAGAAGTGAAATAAACTCGCACTTGGCCCTCAGAAGAAAGAATAGGCTCATGGCTTAGTGGTAACCGAGTAGGTTAAGACATTGCAAAGTTAAGCAATTCTAGCCAGGTCAGTCTATGGATGGGATTCCTAACATATTGAAACCACTTCGTTCCTGGGAACGCACGTTAACGTATCGTAGCCAACTTAAAGCCAACCCCAACATAGTTTGGGAAAAAGGTTCGGAGGAAGAAAAAGAAGCAGCATCAGGAGAAACACAAAATAGGTTCATATTACTTCTGTCGCCGAAACATGTGATGCGGCGCAGTGAAATTACATTGCTGTTTGAACCCTTCAATCTCTATTAGCAATGTACTTACCTATGATTACACTGTTGACAAGCGAAACACTCGAGGTGATAGACGTTGCTGCGCGCACGCATCACCATTTCGAACGCAGGAATCACTTTGTTGCAAGCTGCACAGTAGCCCGTGTTGCCGAATAACCTACGAAAAGATTTAGAGTCGTTAAAACTTGTAAAACGATCAACAGGTTAATCTTAGGAAATTATTTATTATTGCCAACTACTTTAACAAATCTTTAACCGAACTCTCTTCTGTGCGTCCAACTATTGCACTTTGTGAATCATCATCATCATCATCATCAGCCTATCGCAGTCCACTGCTGGACATAGGCCTCTCCCATTGCACGCCACTTAGATCGATTTTGGGCTTCTCGCATCCAGCTCCTGCCAGCCATCTTGCGCAATGAACCCCTCCCATGCAGACGCAACTTTGTGAATATATATGCAATATTTTTAATTTGTTTTTAAATTTGAGTAAGCCCATTTTAGGTATTTATCATGCATTTTAAAGCACTTGTGGTAACTTTCATTCTTGAATCAGTTGGCCACATTGCTACTGAGTCAGATTTCCTTTTAATCTAGACAGGTTTATAGACGATACTACAAAATGATGTATTTTAAGAAACAAATTAGAATACTCTTGGGTACGACTAACCTCAAATAATCCCTCTTGCAGAGGATGAGGTTGGCGCGTGTGTACAACGTGTGGCCAACCTCACCGAGTCGGCAGTCACAGCATCCACACTTAAGACAATCTTCATGCCAAAGCTGATCTAGAGCCTTAAGTAAGTACCGCTCCGTTATAACCTTGCTGCATCCAGCACAAATCTGTGAAATAAATATCCCCTTAATGACATTTTCACGAGTTTTAATAAAATATAATTGTCATATATAAAATTTTATGATTATAACTTTAGTAAAATATACTACAAAAACCTTTTCATGTTATTCATTACGCCTAGCTAGTTTAAGTATCCTAGTGGAATCAAGTGTAAGAATACAAATTGTTACCCTAATAATTATTGTGGTGGTTTCGTTTCTACGTTGTGTTTTAAAGTATTACAAATATGGTACATGATGTTAGACTTAATTTAAAAAAATCACTACTAACTGTAATGTTTTAAAGAAGTAAAAAAGAGTTAGACGCATTGACCTACATAAGTATGTAGGTCATGTACTGATGGATATTAAAACCGTAAACAAGTGTTTACGGTTTTAATATCCATCAGTAGCTACGTACCTGTGGCTGTGGGGGCTGTTGCGCGGTGGCAGTTGTTGGTTGTTGCGTGGATGCAGGCAGCGGCGAAGCGCGCGCCTCTTTGGTGACCTCCATGGCGAGCATATGCGAGCCCAGTGTGGGACTGCCGCTGCTCGCCTGTTGCGGCGTTCGCCTCTCGCACTGTACAAAAAAAACTATCATAAGCCTCGTAAACATTAACTGCTACGAGCAAAAGCAACAAACTATTTGAGGTTATCGGTTATTGTGGTCTGTAGCCCTTTACTAATTTTGGCAATCTCATCCATTTTAATAAAATCTAACCAGCGAAGTACATGTAAATTTAAAGTTATGTTATTTGCAACTGGCAAGATTGGAATAAACATTATTGTCTGCAGTTTTGTTTCGATATCCAAATAATAAATTCAAGCATTGATTTATTAGATTCAAGACATAAATCGCTAGAAGTAGACCGCCAAAGTAGTGCCGAGTAGCAGTATTAGAAGTTAAAAGCCTTCAGACATACTAAAATAACTAGTTTTCCCCATAATGTTCATTAACAGCGATCGTGCAAAGGAGGGAATTATAATAAATGTAACGGTTTTATTTCTCCTTGCCTAAATATAGGAAATAATAATATATCGGTAATTGATCAACCCATTGAAATTAGCTACAAAATAAGAAATATAAAAGGGAATCAAAATCATAAACTAAATTCAACCCGAGAAAATATTTTCCTGCATCAGTAGTAGTCGTAAGCTCCTTAGCCACAAATCAAGTTCGGTCAAATTGAAGTCCATTGATATTGAATCATAAGTCACGATACATAATCGACTCAGAACTCAACAACTCATTCAGGCCATTTTATGTTACAGCATAAACTCCAGAACCATGAAATTTATTGCCCGTAATATTTCTCGAAAAAATTAGCACAACTACTCAAGCGATTAATGAGAACGTGAAACACGACTCGACTATACCGAACTATAGCAAATTATGTACCTTAAAAATATCGAATAAATACAAAATAACAAAAAATCTGTAATTGAGATCGTGTCGCCAAAAAAAGAAGCAATGAATTTGAGCACGAACCGCAGCGTCGTCATGGTTAATTAATATTTTAAACACAATTCAATTAAATTTAGCAACTGGTGCAGCCTCGCACTATTTTATCGCGACCACAATCTAGGCCAGTTACTAATCTACGACCTTTCCACTTTTTACAGACGCACAAACTTTTTTTCTAGTACAGTGAATTCGGGTATTATGAGCCAACGTGCCTGAAACAATGCTGGCTATTGTAATGTCCATGACGAATGGCCCGCGGCTCTTATTTTTGTGTGTTTTCGAGAGTGCGTCCGATCACCAGCCATAAATAATAGTATTCGGATATCGCCCGGAAGCGTGCACACAACGACAAATCGTGTCAATGACTGTTTGTTTAATCTACAGAGGAAGTTAATCAACTTTGTTGTGAGTCAGTTGAACCTAGCGATTAAATACATAATACCAAGTCAAGCGTACCAAATCGTTATTGCACTTGTATCTTAACTATAGGTTTATTTCTCTAGCTCGGTGGCACTGGATATGACAGGTACGGCTCCACTTTTAATGTAATATCTTCAATGCTCAAGTTGTTACTAAATGTAATAGTGCGGTTCTAATTTATTACAATCACTTTTCTAATATGATAATGTAGAAAAACTAAACATTAAAAAAAAAAAAGATATATCAGTCGATTTGAAAGAAAACAAGGCGTAAGTTGTAACCTACGTCTATAAACGCTTTTAACACTGGTGAAAATTTTTAGACAATATTTTATGATGTAGGAAGCAATCGAGCAGACGGCTCACCTAATGGAAAGTGGCCAAAGCTGCCCATGGACGTGTGTTACAGGCGGCAACTCAATAGTCACAAACGCGTTGATATTGTGAACATAATATGTAATTTACATTAAAATATCTGTTATACTTATATTTAGATGTTTATGAAATGTAATTTATTTTAAAGTGAATGGCATAAGGGTTCTAATCTCTTACTATTTTGTATATCTTATACATAGAGTAGAAACTTTATAGAAAACAAACTTTGGCTTTTGGGTAACATTTACTTTTTACCTTATTCATATAAATTAAAACTCTTACAAAAAATTGATAGACATTTTAATCGAATAGGCATTATCATCAGAGTCAGTAAATAATAAAATCTATGATAAGAGTGTCATTTACCGACTATTTTTCGAACTCCAAAAAGAAAATAAATGAGTGGACAGAGAGTAATTAGAATATAAATGTTAACTAGAAGTCATATTGCCTTGACAATACACCGATTATTTAAACACTGTATCAGAACTAAGACGGTAACTTCAATTAACTTCACCATAGTAACATGGAAAAACATCTTTATAATATTCATTTTGTACGAGTAAACATTACAGAATATTTTATTTAGTTACGCCTAGATACAAGTCAATCACCGCTACACAACAATAACATTCAAGTCAAATTCATTAAGCACGGTACAGCACCGTGGTATACAATACAATGGTAATGCACGACCGAAGTATAGATGCGACATTTTTTGCCAAGTAGACAGTCCGTGAAGCGAACCTTCGTGAATAATAACTGAGCGATGACAGCAACACGCTACGCCACTCGGGAAACAACCCGTGGCGAATGCAACCGCCGAGATTAGACGCAGCCAAAGCAAAAAAGCTCACGCCTTCCATTAACGGCGACTTTCGAAACGTCAATACGCACGAATTAGGATTTAACGAATGTCAGCCGAGGGACAGCAAAACTATGCAAAATTAATTTCGTGAGACTGCCAGCGGCTTATTTTAATACCAATACTCTAAAAGAGCTTGGCCATCGAAAAATTATTTCTTCTTTTAACTTTTCATACAACGAATATGACAAACAACTCCACACCGTTCATTATGATCAGTTTAATAGGCGAAGAGAATTCTTTGTACCCCTTTAAGCATATTTCGCGGTCGGATGTAAAATTTAGAATACTTAGTTCATACATATTAGATGTACAAAAAGCTAATATACTCGTGTAACAGATAAGAAAAACACGTGAAAACGGCTACGAAAACTTAATTTGACCAATCAATATTCGTAGTCAAAATTCATCTACAATACAACTCTAACAATAAAATAACTTGTTATATTAAAAAACACACAAACAGAAAATCTAATCGAATCTACATAACTTTTATATTAATATAGACCGAGCGAAAAAGAAAAATCAATAATTATGTATTTATGAATTATCTTGAGGATGGTTAGTGTCATGGTCTTTGTAACATTACATTACGACCCATAGGAGCTGTGTAGTGACCATAAACGTGGGTTTCAACCGTGTGCCGTTTCAACGTGAGACCACGTTCGGTTTTCAATAGCAGTATAAAGAGTATGTTTGAATTACTTTTAATATTAAAAAAAATAAAATACCATAATGCTTTATATCTTAAATAAAACAAACATTTACGTTTGATAAAAGCGTGAGTAAAAGAAATAAAAGATGAATGCGTTGCAAATACAGTGAATGCCGCGCTGGGATGCATTTGGCCAGACACTGAAGGATGACCGCCACGAGCCGCGAGGGAGCCCGCAACCGGCGCGCTGTACCAACGTTAATGATTAACACAGACGCGGTCCGAGACCAATTATGCACTGCCACCGTACTCCAAATTAGAAACTATTTTCGCCCATTAGTGGCCAACTTCATAATCAATTATACGTTAAAATTTCACAGCGCTGTTTCGGGAGCTCTCTGTTTGGATAATCGGAGTTTGTGGTCCCACGGCGAGCTATTACGTGGCTCTGTATGGGCCATAAAGGTTTTTGTTAGGCTTCCTGCAAATTTTAATGCACGTTTCGAATACATTTTGGTCAGGTAACTGCATTAAGCTAAATAATGGTATCCGACAATAATTTTCCCGACAGCCTTTTCAGTCATTATTTTTTGTGATGTCATACTAAAATGTTTTTATACTATTGTTTGTTTTTTCATTAAGACTGTAGACTGGTACTGAAAACTTTCTAAGCCCGAAACACATAACAAATCTTTAAGAAGATTATTTGAGACAGACTACAACTAATAGGATTAAGTACACTCCGCTAATCATAATTCATCAGCGAGATTAAAGAATAAGCGGCGCGATGAGGGGACACAGGGCCACCGCAGGCCCCCACCACCCCTAGCATTCTGCCCACCGTTCAGATGAGACGGAGAGACAATATGATTGCCACACCTGCGGAAACGACGCAAAGTAACGAGACGAGAAGCTAAATAATTCAACCAACTAACACCGCAACGAACATTGCTCTACTCATTTTTTTGCATTAATTTGCAGAACACAAGTAAATAATTTTATTGTTAATTACTTTAAAATAAGAGAAACATAAATCATACAATGGCTGCCTTATAAAAACAATAACAATAGAGGTGCTATAATGTTGCGCTTTGATGATAATAAGAAAAATAAAATATTATGATAAAACTAAATTCTCAAATTTCATGAACTGTAGAAACTTAACAGCCTGAAACTAACAAGCACTTTTTATTAGTTTACACTGATTACTAAATGTGAAATAAAAGAAAGACTAGTGCATCGTGTCTTTCTTTAAATTGTAAAGTAGAGCCACAAACTAAGCGTTTGAAAGGCACAGGTACTTATTTAGCAGATTGCTTTCCTTTAAGTTGTTCTTTAATCTAGGTATGGCCGCTCGTCGGCCGCGGGTGTCGCGTCGCTTTACTTCACACCCTCCCACTTCACATCCGGCAATGGGCCGGTCACAAAGGATATTCGCACGCACTTTGATATTAAACTCTTGCAACTACAGCTGTGCAAGCACTACTTTCGATTATATTTTGTTTCTAGATAAATGTTTAAAGTTTTAAAAAGTGTGTAAATAAGAAACCAGGAAATACGACTACCAAAAATTCTTAAAATAAACTGAGTCATAACAACAAGCCGAGTTATAATGAGTAGGAGATTAATTCTTATCACAGTAGCAATAAAAGGCCTTCAACGAGGTGTACAGTAAACGATGGGACATTAGTACACGAATGTGAGGAGCATTATCAGTCGGGCGCCACAGAACGGTAACCGCCAACTCGACGCAGAATTTCGTTAATACCAAGCCATATTGGATTAGCTGCGGCACCCGTCTGCCGCAATAATATAACGAAATTCAAACATTAATAGGCTCAAACACAATCACGGATGGCCGCATAATCGAGTTAGCTGCTATTCGGTTAAACCCCTATCGCGTAATCTACTCCATTGTCTGACAGTCGTTGCGTTGATCATCGTCGTTGATTATTGTGGCAATTTCGTGTTTATTGTTTTCAGGTGTCTCCTGTCACCCCGGTGTCCTGAAGGAGTACAATACCACCAGTTATCTTGATAGAGAACTATCTCGTAAAATGTTACAGAGAATATTTCTATCAACAATGCAACGCAACTGTTACTCTAACAAAATTAATTTCACCCTGGTCTGTAATTTTCGAATAATTAAGCACATATTGAAAAGAAAACGTTCTGATATAAGTTTGTCCACAATAGTAAGCACAATAGTAGATAATATACTAGGTCCCGCGGCAGTCAAAGGAATCGATGCTCAGGTGGAATATACGTCGGGCAAGTTAAAAGTTTCACCTCAGTTAGATGCAGTTGAAGGAACAAATAACGAGATAGAAGCTGTGTCAAAACTGCCAAAAACAAAACTATAAAGTTTGCTTTATAACGGGTAGATATCGCTTTATCTATTTGAGATGTCGAACTCAATTTGGATCGGTGAACTTGTCTTTTATAACTTACGATAGCTGCCACACGATCCTTTGTTCTTAATATCATAACTTAAAAATCAAAATCTTTAGGTTTTTTTATAAATTAAATTTGAACTAAATATGAAAAGACAACTCCCGCATTAGGAAAATATCCTGTGTCGCGGGGGACTTTACAAACATACATGAACGGACACAAAGAACACCCAGACTCGGAACAACAATTTGTGGATCACACAAAGTGTCGTCCCATGTGGGGTTTGAACCCACAACACTCGGTGTAGTAGGAAGCGGCGTGGCGACCGCTTAAACCACTACGCCGAACTTAAATCGATTTCCAATAAAGGTGACCGTAGAGAATTAAAAACGATTAATTAAAATAACAACTGTATAAACAACAAAATGTGCATAATAACTGCGACGTTTTCAATAATTGAGTTTGCAAAAAAAACACTAAATAAGATCGTTTGTCAAGCCCAGGCATCAATATAGCTGAATTGAAAGCACTTTATGAATACTTAAACGTACACAGCGTGTTAAAGTAACTTGTGTGACGATGTCGTTGTAACGTCACCAATAGCAAATTCTGCTGATTCTTTATTACATTATAAAACAAATGTCTCATATTAATTATAAGTCGTGATGCAGTCACATCCTTATTGATCGTAAAGAATCTTTGATAGCCGTTGTAAAATGTTCCAAATCGTTGTCGTGATAATTTATGAAGCATGTTTATGGACGAATTTATGACAATATCTGTATGTACTTTTACTGTACACTCGTATTTAATACAACATATACAGTAACATTCATCCCGTGATTAACGTGATGATTTCTACTGTGCGATACATATTATTGCCGAGATGAGTTGTTAAGCCAAATTAGTAAAGGACTCGCGCGACGAGAGGCAAAGTGAATTAAAGCAACTTGGAGCCTATTATGTGAAGTGAGTTATAAAATAAAGCCGCGGCGAGTAACTTCATACATTACAAGCCGATAACCAGACGAGACTTCTGAGACACAAACCAGTCCCTTTTAGTGAAATTGAAAACTTTTTCTGTTACTCATACCGCGGCCACGACACGGCTCCTTTTAAATCAATTGCCTTTTATAATTAACTTACTCCGTTATTGAAGTGCACTCGCTCGTTGACTCAATTAAAATTCAATCGAGATGTAAATCTATCTATTAAAGAACGAGTTTTTCTGGCAGATATAATTGAATAAAATTGTTGTCTAGATAAGTGTTGCTTACATACGGCCTTTAAGTGAATATATTGCTTACTTAGATATTTCTTATCGAGTCGATTAAATTATCAACACATTCTGGTTCTCTTTATGATATCATGTCAGAGATGTTGATTTCATTGAAAGAGTAGCAAGAAAAGATATGATATCAGAATATCCATTAATGGATATTAGTTGAAGCGATGTATAGCAATGTCGTTTAACAATACAGTATATCAATCTCAACATTATATGCAGCCCCTTAATGCAATGAAAATCCCCAGGCCAGGGAGTGCCACTTTTACCTAATTCTTATTAAACATTTATTAGATTAGACAAAAGCTATCGGAGGTAACGTTCTCGATGTTTTATTTATGATCTTTTATTCGATTGCTAGTTTCTCTCTGTTATGTTTTAAGCAAGCCTAAGAGAGTGTGATATTTTGGGTATGTTGGAAAATAGAATACTTCTCAGATTAAAGTTGGTGAGTTTGGTTTCGCCTCTTTTGTGATATTTTACCTTTTTTAATGATTGGCTTGTTTGTTATAAAACATAAGGCTATACTCACGATCAAGAGGTTTTAGGTTTTCATGCCCCAGAAATTTACTTCACCAATGAAAATTGAATTAGACAATCTCGATGGTCAAATAATCACAATCTCAAAACTTACTTAATATTACCAACATAAGACATTAACATTATAAGACTATTTAAACTTAAGCCAAACACTCACAGAAAGTATGGCACACTCATTCAATCAAAAGAATCGAAAAATTATCCTCATGAGCGTAATCACTTTTGTCTGCATTCCTCAGATTAGTAATTTCAAATAAATTATAACTTAGTGTTGGAAAAACTGATCGCATTTTCCCAACCCAGATATTATTTAATCAGAGTTATGCGACCCATTAATTAAATTACGTTAGCTAAGGGCTGGGCTGTAAGAAAATTGCTTTTATTTGTGGGGAGACATTCAATTAAACATTCATTCATTTGTGGGCCATCGAGTGCCGTCCATTACCTCTAATTATAATTTAGACTGTCCGTTTAATTATTACTAGATGTATTCCGTACTGCGTGTGCGCCGCCAATCCATAAAATGGCAGTTAGTACGCCATGAGATGTATCAAAAATTACTTACTTTTTATTAATGTTGGTATAACTAAAGTAACTGCGGGATAGTCTTTAGTGTAAAACAATAGATGGGTAAGCATTATAAGATGAGTATCAGGATACAAATGAAATTGGTAATTATGAAGCACATAGAACTAGCAAATCCTGGCAAAACCTACGCGGAATGCGTTAGTATTTTTTTTGTTAACCAATCCCGCTAAGCTAAATTGCTTGTAATAGGAGATGGTTCACGTCGGTAGTGTACTGGTCAGGATTTGAACCCACGACCTCTTGATCGCAAGTCCTTAACCACTAGGCTAAACTCTGTCTGTAGTAATAATAATAACGACTTGCAGCTCTTTTGCAGTAGGTATATTAGTAGTAGTAATTGAGCAACATGAAACAAATTGGACTCTTTTACTGACAACATTATTAACAATTCAAATATACCGCTTCTGTAACAAGTATGACGAATGGTTTTCTTTTCCCATGTGAGGCAGATATAGGTGGCTATAATTAAAGGGAAATTAGTTAGCCAAATAACCAAAAACACACCGCTGATATGCGTAATTAAATCAGTCAATTAGGGTTATTAAAAAACTCAATCTAAATTAAATTAACTATGCTCACCTTACAAACTAATTTAGTTTTCTTAATTAAATTATCATGAGGGCTACATCATTTTTTGTTAGTTAACAAAGTAAAATTAAATTTATTAGTTTATTACTTTTTTGAATAGCAATATAAAAACACGTTTAAAATAATAACAGCAACGTAAATGTTTATAAGTTTAAAACCTTGTATAGCTAATAAAGTAAGTGAGACGAAGAAAATCTGATGAAAACTTTCAATAAGCTTCAAATTAATTGGCAGCAAAGATAGGAGCACGAGGCGTCTGCAGAACTTGACGACGCTCATTATAACTATTGCACTAAATGCATTAAAAAGTGTTGAGATGTTTACTGCAGCACCATTTACTACGTGCACAATATAGCGCTTTAATAATATACAAATTAACTAACAAAATTCTATAACACTTACCACACAAATTATCCTAATTAAATGGAGAACATACTTCAAATTGTAATTAGCGATTATGTGAGTTATAATATGAATGAATTCATTATGATTAATGGAATGTATTCACTGAACCACGTGAGAGATGGGACTCGTGTTTACAAAACGCACTCGTTTTTAAAACTGAATGAATGAACAGCACTCTATCGGAGTGCTTCCTGCCGACTGTGATAACACCCCGCGCCGCTTAATGAGACGTCTGTTGCCATTGTATCCACTTTACCTAATTATTGTGAACATTTAATACCGACATAATGACTGTTGCGTATTTTACCATCGATATAAGTAAGTGTTTCCGCTACACCGCGATAATTGTTAATGAAAAGTTCAGTTCAGAAAGTCTTGTCGTTTTAAATGTTAGTACTTGCACATAATTTGAGCAAGTCAAAAATTTAAAATAATGTAATAAAAATTTGTGAAAAAAGTTTTAAAAATGTTTTATGACAAGAATCAAACAGGGGAGGGACGTGTAACTTGAAGAATCATAGTTTATTTTTGAGATTGCCTACGTGCAGTGGTAGAAAAAAGAGTAATATTATTTTTCAATTCCCATACAAAAGTGGTCGGTGCGCGCCGGCAAATTGGTTGTATTGTCAATTTGGGCAGTGCGTGCCGGGGCGCAGATGAAATGTTTATTTTCAATTTCCGCCATTTTCCCGCCGCGTCCGCCGCAGGATTAGGATGCGAAACAACTATACTATCCATTGATAACCTAGTTTCATGTGATATTTACAAATATCAACACCTCCGACTTCTTTTTACTTCAAATTCAGAAACAAACGTTTATTAACAACTACATCATTTTAGAGTAGGTGTAACTTGTACATCTGAAGTTGTGGAATGTCACATTTACCAATAAGAATATTCTGGAACATATTTGTTACTGTAACGGATAAAATATTTCGGTACATTTGCTTTTGTAAAGTCATGGGAGAGCCATGCTTCGGCACAAACGTGACACGAGTCTCACAAGGACGAAAAAAATGCTTAACACTATTTCTACTCTCGTATTATTCCGGTCGAGCGGGCACATAGGTGTGGAAGTATGGCTCTCCGGCGGTAATCCGAGTGGTATTTGTAACACCTATTTGATTCTGTACGAGATAACACATTTAAGAGTATAATTATATTTACAGGGATTAAGGAACATCGTAACGAATACTGAAATAGTGTATTCAGACCATGATTCTGAGTCGAAATGCAGAAAATTCATTATATGTTTTTTTATTTTCTTCCCATTTTTTGGTTAAAAATGATTTCACAGTGAGTAAACAGAACATTTCACCGAAAAAATAATAATAAATACCGCATACGGTCAAAAACTGCAATGTAATTAATCAAACAGCCGACGAGCGCGGGGCCTCCCCTCCGGTCGTCAAATTGTGTTAGTGTGACTTGGTCGTCAACTTGTCTAAACAAAAGTTATTTGTGGATACCAACGGGGCATGATCCAAACCTTTGACAGCTGATTGCATAAACAGTTAAATTTTTCAGCAGAAAATTCCAAAGATTTTAGACTCAAAATGATGGTCTGAATACACTATTACAATATTTGTTACGATGTCCACATGTCTATACGATGTATATACAGATACACAGTTAGAGTAGGTTTTCTAAGTAAGACATGTTATTGTTTTTATTTAAGATATCAAGT